TGCTTCATCCCCCGGTCAGGTCACCCCCCATTGCCACCCGCACGAGGGGCCAAGCTTGGACGCCCGAGTTGTGGGGTTACTCCGGTTGTGAGCCCCCGAGGCGTCGATCTGCAGCTGCCCCTGACCGCCCCCAGCCCTGATGCTTTGGGAGGCTTGGGCGCCCGAGTTGTCCGGGACAGCTGTGGTCCAGGGTAGCTCTGGTTGTGGGCCCCCGAGGCGTGCATCTGTAGCTCTTCCTGGCCGCTCCCAGCCCTGATGCTTCGGGGCTCCGACAGGCGCACAGGTCGTCGGTGTCGCGCCGCGTGCAGCGCACGGGCCGACCGGCGAGCCGCGCGGCAGAGGCCACTCTGGCCTGCACAGGGCCTCTCTTGCGTGCAGCCGGGCCCTCGCTGCCTCCATCTGGCCCTCCTCGGGCGAGGGGCTCCGCGGCCAGCCCCGCTCGCCTCGCCGCCTCGCAGCGAAGCACCCCCCCCCCGCCAAGCATGGGCGGCTGCGTCGGCGCGGCCCCGGGCGGCGGCGTGGAGCCCGCGGGCCCCGCCGCCGCCGGGGCGCCCGGGCAGGGGGTGCTCCTCGGGCAGGGCGGCGGGGCGAAGCCGACCGACGAGAGGCCAGCGCCGCCCACGCCGCCCACTGTCGCCGCCGACGCAGCCGCCCTCGTCCGTCGTCCGTCGTCCGTCGTCCGTCGTCCGTCGTCCGTCGTCGTCGTCCGTGGTCGTCGTCCGTCGTCGGTCACGGGCCGCACACTGTCTCAAGCCGCCACCTCCTCTCCGAGGCACCGGCAGATGCTGCTGTCGATGTCGCAGGCGCCGCTGCTCTACGTGCTCACCGCGATGTCCAAGAGCCAGGTCCCCAGAGCGCACCTGCACACCACCGCGGTGCCTGGCCAGGGACACCCTGCGATGGCGTGTTATACCCCCGCCTGGCCCCGGCCAGCAAGGCGTATACACCATGCCGGTGCCCAGGCCCTGGCCAGGGGCAGCAGTATTGGGTCGGGCATGTCCTCCTACTGGCGGATGCTGGAGGAAGATTTGTCACAACAGTCAAACATAGTCACCAAACATCACAACACGTCGCCACCATACCATTGAAACATGGTAATCAAAAATCTCAACACATCGCCACCATACCATCAAACAAAAAACTCTCGACTCTTCCTCCTGTCGAGGGACATGCCCGACTCGGCAGTAGTGGCAGCAGGCCGGCGACGTCCTGGAGGCGGGCTGCGTGCGCCTGTGCCAGCTGCAGGCCGACGGCGAGCAGGGCCTCCTCGCGGCGGGCGCGGTGGAGCTCGTGCTGCGCGCCATGGAGCTGCACGGGGGCGCCCGGTGGCTGTCGCTGCACGAGGCGGCCCTGCGCTTCTTGGCGAACGCGGCCTCCAGCGCGGAGGGCCAGGCCAAGGCACCCGCGGCGTGTGGGTGAAGCCGAAGCACGGCACACGGCACAAGTGGGCACGTCGGCCGTTGACAGCAGGCATCTCTGGACTCCCAGATCCCAGCGTGCTCCAAGCGCCTCCCTGCTTCAGGGATCGGCGTGGTCACCGTGGTCTTGCTGTGCTCTGTGATTCGCTATCCCCTGGGAGGGCCTGGAACCGGTCCACTCGATCCGCCTTCCTGCTTCGTGCTTTGATCTGCAGTGGGGGCCCATGCCAAGAAACACCCAGCTTGCCTCCAGTGTGCCCTGGGTTTCGCGGGCTTCGATGGTTTTGCTATGGAGAGCGTGACGTCCCCACACCAAAAATCCATGGACGCCCTGGGGTCTCAGGGTTGGGTCTCTTGTGGAAGGTTTCGTGGTGACGGGCCTCCGCTGTACGTCTTCCGACCGACGCGTCCTTTCTCGAGGCTCCGCGCGGCTTTCCTGGATCGGCGTTGGACCCCCCTCCCTGGCGCGCGGGAGCGTCGCACGCCAGCGTTAAGTCGGGCGTGTCCCTCTACAGGAGGAATATTCAAACATAGTCCAGAAATAGTAGGGGGGCGATTTTTCGACTAATTTGTTTTTTTTGTTTTTCAATGATTTTCGTCCAAAGCCCGCCTGTATGGGGGACATGCCCGACCTAAAAGCCAGCGGTCTGCGACGGTGCCTGAGCGGCCATCGCAGAGGCACCCGGGTGCCTTCTCAGGAGCCCCCCCCCAAAGCCTTCTCAGAAGGCCGCCCCGCGTCATGAACAAGGACACGACAGAAGGCCTTTCGGCTATCTTCAGCCGCCGGAGGCCCCTGCCCGGCCTCGGGGCCGTCAAAGAGCGATTCTGGACCAAGCGGGTTTGTGGGAATGGGTCGATTCGATGCTCGTTTTCGGGGATGTTTCTGGGGCCCACCCAGCTTGCCTCTTCGACTGAGGTTCGATGACTCAAGTTCGACTCAGGTTCCACTCAGGTTCGACTCAGGTTCGGCTCAGATTCTACTCAGGTTCGACTCGGGGTCGACTCGGGGTCGACTCAAATCGACGGACGTTCGACGCAGCGTCGACGCACGAGCGGAGCGAGCGTCTCCGGGAAGGCCCCCAGAAGGAGCGCCCAGGGCCGAGGCCTTTGGGGGCCGACGCCGCGAGTAAAGTCATGGCGTCGGCTTTGTCTGGGTCCGGCGGCCGCTCTCCCCGCGCCGCCCCCCTTCTCGGAGTCAGTATCGTTTAACCGATCCCCAACCCCATCTCGGGTGGCCGCAGGCAACGTCGGTGATGACTAGGGGGGGGGGGTGGATATCATGGCGCGGGCCATGATATTTCCCCAGATTTCATGGCGCCTCTTCTCATTTCATTACGCCCCTGGCCCCCCCGCTGGGCCGCGCACATGCCGCCGGTCATGATTTGCACCCCCCCCTCTTGGACACCCCCCTCTTTGCCGCTCCCGACCATCCCCATCCCCATCCCGAGCTCCACCATCTCACCGCCCCAGTTGGGGATGGACGGCCCATATCCCCATCCAGGGGGGGCAAATCGGCCAGCGGGGCCCAGGCCACAGCGGTGGGGCTCGGGATCGGTTCGACGGCGCTCATGGAGCGCGCCAGCACACGAGGTGGCTGGGGCCGGCGGCGGCAATCGGTTCGACGGCGCTCATGGAGCGCGCCAGCACACGAGGTGGCTGGGGCCGGCGGCGGCAAGGCCGTGCTGAGGTCCATGTCCATCCCTGCCTTCCTGGAGGAGCCGAGGCTGCAGGAGCCCGGCCGCCCGAGAGCGGGGCCCTGGCCGGATGTGGCCGGAGGATCGCGCGTCGCAGCGCCGGTGCGCGGGCGATGGCGATGCGGCGTCCGTCAGAGCCCGATGGTCCTCCTCCTCCGCCTCCTCCTCCGCCTCCGCCGCCTCCGCCTCCTCCTCCTCTTCCCCCTCCTCCTCTTCCCCCTCCTCCTCCTCCTCCTCCTCCTCCTCCTCCTGCTGCTCCTCCTCTTTCCCTGGGCGTCGTCGATGCAGTGCGGATGCGCGGCGCGGTCCTCTGGCCCGAAGTGTTCCTGGCCCTGGCAGCCTCCGCAGGAGGTGGGGTGCTGCGCTCTGCGCAACCTGGCCCACGCCCACTCCAGCGACGGCCGCAGCGGGCAGGTGGCGTTCCAGATCGGCGTGGACGAGGGCGTCGAGGTGGTGGTCCAGGCCATGAGGTCGAACGAGGAGCACCCCAGGGTCCAGGAGTCGAAGAAGAGAACAATCTGCATATTGAAGCAAAACCATCGAAGGTCCGCGCGGATGTCGCGTACGGGCGCCGGCGCCGCCTCGGCGGCGCCTCTGGCTCGGTCCAGCGCCGACCCACGAAGTCTGCGCGGACCTTGAAATGGTGATCCCCCCCATCCGGATTAAGAGAACAGAGCTCCCCACCCGCCTCGCGCAAACGGCATAGTTGCCCTGGCCGCCAGGCCCCAGGTGCATCTGTGCTCCCTGGGGGTGTGCTGCCTCGCGTCTTCGACGAGCGACGGCTGCATGCCGCAGCCACGCCCCCAGGGGGCCCCGGTGCTCCCCAGGGATCCCGCCCCTCGCGTTCTCCGGTAGGGATCGCTCGGCGAAAGATACCATGCTTCGGCTGGCGGTGCCGCTTCTTCCGAGGAGCGGGCCTGCGCTGCACTGCGGCTCCTGATGCGCGACCAGGCCAACCAGGCCCGCGTCGTAGACAGCGAGGGCGTCGAGGCCATGCTCCGCGCGGTGGCGCAGCACGCCGCGGACCCCGGGGTGGCCCAGGAGGTGTGCAGGGCCCTGGAGCTGCTGGCCACGCGCCACCCCGACAGCGTCGGCTTCCTGGTCGAGGCCCCGGCGCCTCTCAGACCCGCACTCCGCGGAGCACGCGGCGGCACAGACACGCAAGCGTCAAGTCGGGCGTGCGGCATGTCCCTCTCCAGGAGGAAGATTTTTCAAAGTTAAAAAACATACTCTGGGGATGAGGTTTCTACGATGTTGGATCCTTTCTGAGTTTTTTTTTTTTTTGGGTGGGCTATGTTCCATTCTGTGCCCCCCAAACTCCGCCTGTGTAGTGGGGCATGCCCGACCCAACACAGCTCCTCGGGGCTCCGTGCGGACTCCCCGCGGTCGGCGCTGGCCCCCCCCCCTCCTCCCCCTGGCGCGCTCCGCGCGCCGGGGCCGTGGGGCCCCGCGCCGGTCCGAGAGATCCGCGGGGACGAGCGCCGGATCCGGGTTTCCGTGGCTGCCGCCTGCTCTTCCCCCCCCCCCTCGGCGCCGTCGGGCCCGAAGCTCCCCCTCGGCCTCCTCCTCCTCCTCCTCCTCCTCCTCCTCCTCCTCCTTCTCCTTCTCCTTTTCACTCCAACGCTGCGGACGGTTGTCGAGCGGTTCGGGAGGGCCCCCCGCTGGCGCCGTCTGGCGCTCGGCGGGGCCGCGGCCAGCTGTACGGTCGTCGGCGGCAGCGGCGAGCAGCGGCCGCCTCGAGACGTTCGCTCGGCACACGGACGGACGAGAGAGGAACGATGAATCGTCAATCGGTCGATCGAGGAATGGAGGAGGAGTAGGGGGACCCCTGAGACAAGGGGTGCGCCACAGGCGCTGGGATCGGTCGTCTCCGATCCACCCCGCGCAGCTCTCACTTTGTGGAATGCCGCGCCCTCCGATTTACGCTCTGGGGGGGGGGGGTAACGAGTCCGAGAGCCTAAAGTCTTTGCTGCTGCTCCTCCTCTCTTCCTCCTCCTCCGCCTCCGCCTCCTCCTCCTCCTCCTCCTCCTCCCTCCCTCCCTCCCTCCCTCCCTCCCTCCCTCCCTCCCTCCCTCCCTCCCTCCGCGCGGGCCTCGGAGTAAATCGGCTGTCCCCGCTCGACTTCGAGCGCCTGCCGCAGGAAGGGCTCCAGGAGATGTGCGACCTCTTCACATCCATCGAGGAGGGCCTCTCCTGGCCGTGGCAGGTCATGTGCATGATCGGGAGGCTGCTGGCCAAGAAGTCGGGCGGCGATCGCGTCATCGGCCTGCTGCCGATGCTGTGCCGTGCCTGGTCTATGGCCCGAGAGGTGCAGATAAAGGAGTGGTCGGCTCAGCAGGACGACCACTGGGACGCGGCCATCGCAGGCAACAGCGCCCTGAAGGAGGCGTTCATCAGGGCGCTTCAGGATGAGTCTCAGTCCAGGCTCAACATCAGTCACGGACATGGGCTTCTCGACGTGGAGGCCTTTTATGACGGCATAGAGTGGGGGCCCCTGGCACGATGTGCAGCCAAGAAGGGGTTCCCACCTGTGATTCTTTTCCCCAGGTGCAGTTGTGCCTCATCCCGAGGCTCTTGCAGCAGCTCGACTCGGTGTCAGAGCCGTTCCAGGCCACGTGCTCCATCGTGCAGGGGCTGCGGAACGGCACCAGGTTCGCCAAGTGCCTGACGGCTTTCGTGTGCAAGAAGCTTTGCGTCATGCACCAGTCGATGTCGGAGCGGATCTGGATCGACGACCTGTCGCAGCGTGTGGCAGGATCGAGGCGGCACGTTCGGACTACGCTCATCAAGGGGATTCTGTCCACTGTCAAAGAGTTTAGGCGTCTTGGCTTGGGCATTTCCCCCAAAAGCGTGGTCACTTGTTCCCATCATAGTGATGCAGTTGCAGTAGCCAAGGTTTTGGCGAGGCGAGGCGTATCGCTGTCAGCGGTGCTCCAGTCGGCGTACTTGGGCGTGGACCTGAGCGCGGGGCGTCGCCACGGCAGGGCCACGGTGCGCAAGAGAGGCACCAAGGCCGCCAAGGCGCACGGCAGGCTGAGGCGCTTCGCCCAGGCCGCCAGGCGGTGGAGGGCCACGGCCAAGCTGCAGCGCGCGGGGCCACAGGCGTCGGCGGTGTACGGCCACCAGGTCTTCGGCGCGTTCGGGCCCAACATGCAGCTGCAGCGGCGGCGCCTGGGGGCGACAGCAGGCTCGTCCAAGCGAGGACGATGCCTCACCACGCTCCTGGCATTGCGGCTGCCTGGCGCCGATCCTGCTGCTCTTCTACCTCGTCAGTGTATATCTTTATGGCTTTCAGTATGGTTGGAGGAGCCGCAGCTCAGGCCGTCGATCTCTCTAGCATGGCCAGCCGCAGTCAAGCACCTGATGAGCATCGAGCCTGAGCTGCGGAGTCGACATGTGCGAGGTCCACTATCCACTGTGATTTTGTACTTGCTGGAAGCAGGGTGGTCTCCAGTTTCGCCCGTGGAGTGGGATGTGCCTAATGACGGCGCTCAGGCAGGCTTCTCTTGGCAATTCGGAGATGCTGAGTTCGCGAGCCTGGATCAGACACCCCCACTGCTGGACGAGCTGCAGGGCACCATGGAGCTCAAGCAGTGGCGTCAAGCTGCAGAGTTATATTGCGGTGGCGGCCTCGAGGACGGGGTCGACATGTATTCATACCGAAAGTTTGTAGATGACCTTACACACGCCAAGCGAGGACGTCAATTGTCGGAGCTCATGGTCTCGATCGCCACAGGCCGGTTCTGGACAAAAGGTCGGGGTTTCGACGATGATTTGTGCTCAAGTGATGTCTGCGAGAGATGCAAAGATGGCCGAGAGTCGGCGTTGCATCGATGTTGGACTTGTGCCAAAAACGAAGATTCACCTGCGTATGCTCAGTCAGCAGAGTTACTTCCTGAGGCTGTCGCCAACTCTGAGGCCTATCCGTGTTTTTGGATGCGGGGGCTTATCCCCGCTCCCTGGACTCAGGTGTCTCCTCCTCCCTCCTCCGAGTCTTGGGACGGCAACGGGCTTCTTAACGGAGGCCTTGTCGGGCCCGCCTGTCTTGGGACTGGAACTCCCGAGGAGCCTCTCATTGTCTTCGGGGACGCGTCGGGGGGGGGCGATACTCACGACAGTCGCCTCCGCAGAGTAGGTGTCGCCATAGCCTGTTTCAGTTCTTTTGAGCCCGTCACCTTGGGGCCCCATCTGCTTGGCCCTCTCATCGGGGCCAGCCAAACGGTGCCCCGTGGGGAGCTCCAGGCGCTGTCTTGGGCCGTTAGGTTCTCTGTAGGCTCGCTTCTGTATGTCACAGATTGTGCTGAGGTCGCGAGGGGTTGGTACGAAGGCCAGCTCCAGTCTCCCTCAGGGCCCCAGGCTGATTTATGGGGATCTCTTGTAAAGACCCT